AAATTCATAAGGAAAATTACCCTTAGTCACCTATATTCTGCTCAAAAAATTACCTGCCTTCAGCCAGTGCACCTGTGGACACCTGAATATGCTGCCCACTGCAGCGCATGGACCCGAGGCAGGACCCTCCTGCCACCACCAGACTCACTTTTGGCTCTCTTCTTTTCCAATTACTTGGTCTGCTGAGACTAAGGAAACTGATTTCAAAATTAGCTTAATTCAAATAAAATCAGGGAGAAAAGTTGTCAGCAAAAACAAAACCCTTCTACATAGTATCTCTAAGTCTGAATAACTCCCTAGTGCCATTACCTCTCTAACAACAGTAACACAATTTGAGAAGGCTTAACTTTCTTATAGAAAAATCACCATCTATGGTTTTATAAAGCTGAGTAAACTCTTAGGCTTACAGACATGGACCGAATTCCTTAGTTGGTTTCAATGAGAGACCCAGCAGGAGCAGCTCTACTAAATTTAGCCTCTGAGCTGATTTCATCACTAACCTGTTCTCCTGACAGAGGTCTCTGCGGACAGAACAGAGGAGGCACAGGGGACACCATGCTAGGCTGGGATCAACCTATTTAACAGGCACACATCTATAGCCAAAAATGGACACAAAAGAATACTCTGCTGGGCTCAGCAATGACTGCTAACAGGACAAAACCCAGAGGACTATGTTCCCAAGGTCATAGCATGCCTGATGGCCATACCTGTGCGAACCTCCTAGCCGCTTACACAGTGCCATCACACATACCTAGAACCATAAATGTCACTCTATCATCAGCTAGATTCAGAAGCTTTCCTGGAGAAGAAAATACCAGAAACTTGGTCTAAGACAAAGCTTGAACCAGTTTGGAGAAGCACAAATTGAAACCCAATCAAATCCTGATCCCCCTACTTAAAGCCAGCCTAGGGGAGAGGATACAGACACAGAAAAATGGGTGTCAGTAAGAAGTTTCAAAGGTGGCTTGGTATTTGAGGGCAGGGGTGAGGAAAGGGAAAGACGCCTTCCTTCCATCCCATCAGGCACCTGTCTCCATTTCTTTTGCATCTTCTGCTCCATACTGCCTACTATCTTTTCTATCATCTACAATCAGAGTTTCAAGTTGCTAAAGCTGTTTTTAGGACTTTTAGCACCATACTGTGCATTCACCCTCTTTACTATGTCCTAAAACATCTCTTAAACTGGTTTGAGCTGGGACTTAAAAACAAATCTGTGTCCCCATCCCCCCCAAGCCCTATAAATTTTATTAAGCAATTGAATGCAAATAATGTGGTTCTATCCTCCATTCCATGATGGGAATCCACAATGATTTATATATAACTGATATGTATATATCCACTGATATTCTAAACTCCATTTATACAGTCCATGCTTTTACTCAAAATTTAATGGATCCTTTTCGTGGGAAATAAATGCAGACCAAATATGCATGTAATATAACCAAGATTTAACGTTCAAAGAAAATGTTCATAAGGTTATATCTTTTCCTTGTTTTGTAACTTATGATAATATGTTTCCAAGTGTTCTACCTTGTTACACCATCTTTCCTTTAAAGAGTTTTTAAAAAATGCTTATGTGGAAACAAATGATAATTATATAAAGGCAGAAAATTCTGAAAACAATACAACTCAATGTAAGCCAGTATTTTCCAGCTCTTTATGAACAGAAGAAAAGCTGATGATAATTTAATATTGAGCTGGAGGAAAAATCTCTTAACTAGAAATGGAAAAAAAAATAAGTGGGGAGGTGGGAATAGTACAATGCAACAGCAGCCGAAAGGGATCAGCTATCATTGGAGCATAAATCTTTAGGAAAGGGTATGAAATGATGTTGAACAAGGAAAAAAAATCAGTTTACATATGTGAAGGAATTTTGTGAATGTGTTTCCAGAGCATACTATTAAAATAAAATCCTATATAGTAAGTTAAAACGAATTAAAATAAACTGAAGAAAAAAAATTACCCCCCCCCCCAAAATTGACTATTCATAAGTAAGATGAGAATACATCACTTAGGTCAACAATATATGGATTTGTTCTTAGTCTTACAGCACTGCCTTGAATGTCTTCCAGAACAACGAAGGATATAAATAGTAAATTCATAAATAAATAAATAGAACAATAGCTTCCTCCTGTTAAATGCCATTGCTGAAGACAAAAGTCACAGATTAAATAATAAATAAGGGAACTGTGCCAGGTAACTTTTAGATAATTTAACTTCACTTTTAGTTTGGGGTTTCTCAAAAATGTATTGCAAGCTCTTGGCTGCAGACAAAAATCCTTGGGTTGCTCTTGAAAATTCAAGTTTCTAGGCTTCATGCCTAAGAAAGAGGTACTGACTTAGAAGGTCAAGAGTCCCCAAAATCCACATTTTCAGCAGCTCCCCAGAAGACCATATGTGCATTGGGTCCACAGTTTATATTTTGAGAAAACCACTGCCTGAAATAAAGACCTGTCTCTCTGCTCTGGAGATGAACATGCCTGTTCATCTGTTTACATTTCTTATGGTGAGAAACATGTTCCAGAGTAGAAAAGAAGCTTTAAATTTGTTTCTCTGAACCATTAGCCTTGTAACTTTAGGTAGCTGGCAGGTCATCTCAAAGGAAATTTGAACTGTTCAACAGTGATCAAAATGGCGCCCTCAGGTTTTCATCAAGCCACACTGGACAGCAGCAATGCAGCTGCAAATGGGTGACAAACGTCTGCCAACGCTCTAAGATAACTGTGTAAGAATCTTGCATCCATGCTTTTTGAAATTCTTTTAAGTTTGCCATCTGGGAAGTTTTAAAGATCTGCAAAGATTATGTATATTGGTCACAATCATTTACTACAGTATCTGAAAAAAAAACCTTATTTGTTCTCATTTCATTTGCTACTAATGAACTCTTTATCAGAAGCTCCTATGGGTTCCTTTAACATTTAAGGCCCATGAGTAGAAATTTTCTAACTCGTTTCCTTATTGCCCCTTCCTTCTCATGTCTCTTTAGCCAAACCCATTCTCCTTATCCACATGTATACACACCCACTTTGTGGGTAGGATACACATTTTTGTCTTTGCTTCCTAGTGTTGCAAACTGCTTTTCATTCACTCTAGCTTGAGCACTGCTGAGGGAATGCTACATGTCAGGCACTGCAGAGAAAGGAACACCTTCACAAATAATTGCAATATAAAAGTGGCATGGGCTATTACCCACTGCAGCAGCTGGACCTGAGGCAGGAACCCTCCTGCCATTATGGATTCCCTCTTTATCCTCTTCTTCTCTAATTACTTAGTATATCATCCTAAGTCTGCTTTTTCTCTAGCTTGTTTTGAATGGCAGAGAACTGATTAGTTGTCCCTACTCCTAACTTCATAAGTCACAGGGCTTCATATTTGAGGTGCAGGCAGATAGGTAGGTGAGGCAATCCCTAGGATCTAGCCAACTTCACTGCCTGCTGGTTGGGATAATGATCAAGAGGAAGAGATGTCAAGAGTCCTGAAAGTTAGTCCTCTAGAGTATTCTGATCAAATCCAGACTTGGAGAAGGGAGAGTACAAAAACTGGTGGGTGGTGGACTCAGATATCATCTGAAAGTGACTACTGAGGGCTTTCCAAATTCTGATTACACTGCATGAAATCTTTTTTTAAAACATGATCCACTGGGAAAGAGGAGAATGTCCAATACCAGTGCATCAGCTAAAACTGATGACTCCTTGGTTATCTAATCTGTCTCATGGAATTTCACACATTTCACTTTAATTTACAACAGGATTCCACTTATTGAAACTGTATCTTCAAAAAAAATTTTTTTTAAATAAGTTTAACTCAGTTAATTCCTTGTAGACTGACTTGGTATCAGGCATAAGGGATGTCACAGGCATTGGACAAAAAGACAGGCCTGTCCTCAAGAACTCCCTTGACTGAGCAGGAGTTAGATGTTATAACACAGCAAGTGTTATTCTGGAGGGGTGGGCACAATGCTTCAGGAACACAGTGGAGCCTGGCATTGCTTCTCAGAGTGGGTGGCAGGTGAGCTGGACTTTAAAGTGTGAACAAGATTTTATCACAAACAAAAAGAAGGAGAAAGACCTTCTTAACAAAGGGAGTATGGAAAAAAGTCCTGAATAGCAAAGGAAAGGAGTCTTTAGGAAACAGTGTTTTGTGAAACAGTGTTTTGCAGGGAAGATGTGATAGATGAAATTAAGAAGATGGGTACGTCACAGCCAGAAGGGAAAGGATTTTATCAGTGATGTGAAGTCTGAATTTTACCCTGTGGGAAGGGCAGTGTGGAGCCCTGAAGATTTTTAAGGAAGGCTGTTGCAAAACTCACTCTGTTTGGAGCAGTAAATGTGGTAGCAGGCAGAAGATGAAGAAGAGGCTATTAGACTATAATGGTTTGGATACAAGATGTCCCCCAAAAGCTTCTGTGTTAATGCAGAATGCTAGGAGGTAAAATGACTGGACTGTGAAAGTTGTAACCTAATCAGTCCATCCTGGTTAAAGGGACAGGGTGGTAACTGTAGGCGGGTAGGGCACGGCTGAAGGAAGTACACGAAGGGGCACCCTTGGAAGGCTTGTTCTTCCCTGCGGCCCCTTTCCCCTTCTCTCCCTCAGCTACCAAGCTGATGAACAGTGAGCAGCCTTCCTCCACCATGCCCTTCCACTTCCCTTGGGCCCAGAGCAATAGACTTGGCCCACTATACACAGATACCTCTGAAATAGTGATCTCCAAAGAACGTTCCTTGCTCTAAGTTGTTCTTGTCAGGCACGTAGGTCACAGAAATGCAAACTGTTATACAGACCAAGCTAGAGACTACTCATGATATTCAGCAGGGTAGTTCTATGCTTTTAGATGCTGATAAATATTTTTCTCCCAAATGTTCTTTAGCTATACCTGAGTTTCCTCCCTTTAGTAGATATAGATATTTCTTCTACCCCAAATGTATCATTTTTGGTTCATAAAATCACATTCCATAAGACAGTAAACATTTAAGGCAAATACTTAAAAGATGTTCTCTTACCTGAACAAAGCTGCTCCACTTTTGTGTAGTTTAAAGATACTATGTCATTAACCCATGCAATGATGTCATGTCTGCTCATAGTCTCTTGGGTTATCGAGGTAGAATACACATTGACTGCCATTCCCCAACTAGGAATAAACAAACAAAAACAAGTTTATTTACCTAGAAGGAAAAAGTTAAGTGAGAAACATAAAAGACACTTAGCTATTCAGGAAGAGGATCCCTAGTGGAGCTTTAGGGAATGTAAAAGTCCTGCTTTGGTTAAGCCCTTTAGCTTTGTTTTCTCTCCCTCCAGTTTACATATTTGCCATATTAGAATTACAGTTCACATTTTTTTCATGCAATATTGTTGTACATCTTCCCCAACTACACATAAAAGGTCTTTAGGATCTGAGATTCTTAACTAAGAGCACAATCTGAAGTTTCACTTTTGATCTTAAGTCTACGTGTAATCATTAAGAAGTTATAAGGTCTATAGTAGTGTATAGCAAAGTAATCTTTTAGTTGAATATATTTCATAGTATTTTCACTACAAGTACTTGCAAATGTTAAGTGTCTCAGAGTTTGCCACCATACATTTGTTAGAATGGGCAAAGTATTTTTAATATTTAAACTTGGATCAACTTTGCAGTTTTCATTAATTTTGTAGAATATAAGTGTGTGCATATATATTATACGTGTGTGTACATAAATATACATATATATGACACATATACATTAACTTTTATTTTGGAAATTCCAAATATGCACAAAAGAAAAAATAGAAAAACAAACTAGTTGTATCTATTTCTTGGCTTCAACAATCATCAATACTTGACCAATCTTGTTTCATTTATGATCCCATTAACTCCCCTCTGACAATCCCACCCCTGACTGCTCAAGCCAAATTATTCTGGAATGAATGCCAAGCATATCACTTCACTTGTAAATATTTCAGTGTGTGAATCTAAAAGACAAGGACATTAAAAATACCAAACCTCTATAGTATTATCACACCCAAAATTAAAATAATTATTTAATACAATCAAACAAGCATTACAATTTTGTTTCTGTTTGTTTGGATGTGGATTCAAACAAAGTTCAACTCTGTTATTCTGTGATACGTTTTTTAAAAATTTCTTTTATCTATAGGTTCTTCTTTAGTCTTTCTAGTCTTTCCTTGGAACGTTTTTTATGTTGAAGAGACTGGGTTGTTTGGTAGTTTCCAAATCAGGACTTCACTCACTGCATACCACTAGTGTGCTTTAACATGCTACTTGACAGGTTCTTCTGTCCTCTGCATTCCTATAAACTGCTGACACAATCTAGAGACTTGATCTGACTCAAGCTCTAGTGCTTCATGCAGAGTCTGGACTTCCATTAGGAGGCACACAACATCTGGCTTTCTGTTATACTGTAAGCCATTAGCATTTGTCTCAATCCAATGGTTCATTAGAAACTTCAAAGTGATAATATATCATTCATTCTTGATTTATTAGCTGGAATAATTCTATAAAGAGAAATTTCCCTCTTAAGTACCCTGAGGTTCAGATTATATAGGAAAGAAGAGTAGACACCTGTCTCTTTATTTGCCCGTTCTCAAAACACTGAGGTGGAGTCCCTAATACTCTCCAAACATGGCCAATGAGGTTTTAATGTTTTGAAGTATAATTAAGAACTTATGATTGAAAATTATTTGATACGTTTCAGTTCATTTATATCTTTATTGATATAGGGTTACAAGAGCATATTCAGGTTGGCTTTTAAGTTCTTTTGACAGGATCCTAGGAGTCTTTGATAACTTCCTTGCTTTCTGGTATGACAAGATTTTGCAGAATGAACTTGTATCTTTCCTGCCTCAGTTTGAACCAGTCATTTGTCCAAGGGCTCTGTTTCCTTGCAGTGGCAAATAGTATTTAGAGACATAAGTAATATTTTTAATCATGACTAGAAAGGATATCAGTATCTATAGACTAAGTTTTACATACAAAAAAATCATTATATTTATAAAACAGTTGTGCTTGGAGTTATTTACTCTCATTAAAGCAATAGAAATCCGATTTCTACTTCAAAGTGCTAAATGAAGATTTCATTATAAATACATATGAAAACAAATAAGCATCCATCTACCCATCCTCAGGAGCATCCTTATCTATAAATTCTCTTTTCCTGAAAACCTGAAAAATTTCATAGCACTGGAATCACAGATAATGTGATTCCATAAATACTGTTTTTCCATACCATTATTAAAGGTTTTAAAATATTTTTGGTTAATAATGTCTACCATTTTCCTAAGTCTATCATTTATTAAATAAAACCATTTGCTTTTGAAAATCCAATCAATTTTTTATCATCTATATAAATTATGTAAAACCTTAGGAGAAATAATTCAAAACATAAAATATTTTGAATTGTTTGATGTCGTTTTCATCTACAGCATAACTGCTAGCAGTTGATATACTTTTCTAATCTCTTCTTCGTTGTGCAGTAATGAGAACCTTTTGCACTTCCAGGCAATGTTCTGATGGAGGGTGAGATGTCAAGGCCCAGAATTACGTTAGATGGCACCAAACCAAATTGAGCTTGAAACAGATCCCCTTTGAAATTAAAAGTTCCAAATTGCTTTAACTTCTGAACCTCCTCATACTGAGAATGAAGGCCAAGGGCCCCCTGACCCTGAAGGGCTCTAGGGAACTGAGAATGGGCCATGCTTCAGATTGACACAGCCAAACTGCATTCACCAATGCATATTTCCTGCTTTTCTGTGCCACTGTGCCCACCTCCTAATAAAAGCTTTCTTCGCACTCCAGTCCCTAAAGATGAACATTTGAGGGGGGGAAAAAAAAGTATCTTCTCTCTTCCTCAAAGCTTGCTTTGAGTGAAACCTGTTCTGCCAGCCAACCTGCCCCCTGAGCTTCACTGGAGCTGATGTGAAGTTTTTCCTACTAAGTTTCAAGAAGAAAATGTTTGCTCATAATGATTTAAAAGCAGAACTAAACTCAGATATATTTTAGAAAGATAATCTATATCCAAGTAAAACTTCTGTGACTACAAAGGGGTAGAAAAATATCCAACAAAAGGACAGGTGGAAGAGTTATGGGAATGTTTAAAACTCCAAGAGAGCAAGGAAGAAAGAAGTCAATGGCTGAAGTCTGTCAATGAATCACCTGTTCCTCCAGGTCTTATTGATAACATTCACCTAAGGACAACCGTCCTTTCATAAAGGCAGATAAGGGCACTGTATGTCTTCAAGGAGCTCATTAAGAAAAGCTGGCAAACAAGGAAAACAGCTCTGGATTTGTGCTTCAGAACTCAGGTCAGTAAGTCACCAGAACTGCCACTCTAACCTCCACCACTGCCTGCTCCAGTCAACAGATGCAGTCCCTGGGAGACCCACACTGGGGACGACTATGTGTAGGGACTTGTGGGAAAAACCAGGTTAAAAGGTAGAACAAGAGAAGGGTAAGCCAGTGAAAGCCAGGAGTATTAACAAGTATTAACATTTCCTAAATCAGAACACTGGCAACACAATAAACAGACTTTGTACCTTCTTCAAATTAATAGTTATGGGATCAATATAGTTAATTTCTATTCACCACCCATGCTGATTAGAATATTCTAATAATCCATCTTCTCGGAGTTTCAACATGATACTTCTACATTCATTTGACTTTGGGGCTGTTTTGCTAGCCCATCCAAACATGCCAGGCCTAGTGATTTGAGGCCTCTGGGTCTGAAGCCTTCTCCACAGAAGGGGAAGGGCCCTTCTGAACCTCCAACAAGTCAGGTGGCAGCCAGAGAGTAAAGAGAATCCTGTCCCTGGCCTGCCACATGTCCTTGCTCCTTGCAATTCCTTCAGCCCTCTCTTTTTATGCAGGTACAATTTTCAGTATATTCAAATTTAAATTATCAGGTGACTAAAAAGCTCGAAGAAGTTAACTTATACTTTTCCAAATATTAAACTCAGGCAAGGGAGAATAAATACAGCACTAGCCTTCCATGAACACACTCTACAATCCTAAGAATTCAGTATAATTTCTTAGGTCTTAATCTGTATGGCAAAATAAAGATAACAGCACCTCTCCATGCCGAGTTTGCAGAAACACTGTGTGGATAACACAAGGAATTTTCACATCACAGTATAGATATAGAATTCCTTGATTTTTTTTTGGCAGTACTGGGAATCCAACCTAGGTTCTCACATACACCAAGCAAACACTCTAGTACTGAGTTATATCCCCATCCCTTTTATTTTTTATTAAGACAACCTCCTGCTAAATTGCCCAGACTGGCCTTGAACTTGGGATTTTCCTGCCTCAGTCTCAGGAGTAGTGGCTGGGATTCTAGGCATGTACCACTGTGCTCAGCCCCCATGCTCCCATTTTGATCTTTGAAAGAATCCTGGGAGGAAAGCAGGACAGGAATTATATTCTTCCCTTACAAATAAGGATGCTGAGTATGACCTAACAGGTCACATAATCAGTTAAATAAAAGACCCAACTTTAGTCCAGGATTCTTAGTCCCCAAGAAAACTTCCAAACACCTGGACATCCTACTGAAGGTAAACAGAATAATGATTTGAAATATTAATTTTTAAATTTACTAATTTCCAAAGATTCAAGCAAGAAAAATGAATGGCTATGAAAAGTAAGGTGATACCAAGTGCTACAGAATGAAGAGCCATTGCACTATGTAAGGCTTATTCTCAAGTTTGAATGTTCAGCATGTCTTTTAAATGACTTGCCACCTGGCCTCCAGTACATAAATATTTCTCTGTCCTCACACTGTAGCATTTGGTCAGAATCTTAACCAGATCATTATGTGATGAGTAATGACACAAAGTAATGACACAAAGTAAATAAATGGGGGGACAAACTCTTAGCATTATGGTTCCTAAGTCACCATATTTTAATATTGTATTTAAACTGCATTATAAAATGGATGGGCATTCATTATTCCTACTTGAAAATAAAACTAAAAATTGCAATATATTTACACACAGTTTTTGTGACTATTGGAATACCTTTCTAGGAAGGTGGCAATATGTTTTTTTTGCAAACCGGGGAGAGAAATAAAACCAGAAATCTCTTCATAACTCCAGCAAGCAAAGTCACAATTCTGGCCTGTGTAAATAGTGACCACCGACAGG